CAATGCATTAATGCTTTCATTCAATACATTGACTGTAAAGTGAAACCCAAAACATAACAAAACACAACACAAACACTGCTTTTAATGGCGTTTTGATCACTGCTTTCAGTCGTCTCTCTCTCCTATCCATCCTTTTCTTTGTCTCCAAAATCTAATCACTTCTTATCGCCAATCAATCCATTTGTGGTCCAACTCTTCGGTTATGATGTGAAGTGAGTCCACAATTGGATGCCATCGATAGGGTGTTTGTGTGAATGCATTGATTGACTCATTGTTTGCGATCACATCTCATGTCCGACTGATATGTGATGTGAAGACAGCGTTGAGAGAAAACTCTTTGTTTCCAAACAGACTGTTTGTCTCCAATTAGTACCGAAAGTAGTGTCAGATTAGTGGCAGATATGGTGAAGACGTTTCAGGCATACCTGCCATCATGTCATCGCACGTACAGTTGCATCCACTGTAGGGCACATCTCGCCAATCACGACGAACTCATCTCAAAGGCAAGTCCACCATCTGATTGTCTTATTGTCATTATGTTATTGATTGTGCCATTCATGGCATCCCATGTTGTTTACAGTCTTTTCAAGGAAGTCAGGGCAGGGCTTATCTCTTCAACTCAGTGTAAGTGATGGCAGTGACCATCGATCACATGTGTGTTTCAATGTCTTCATTAATGGCCAAATAGGGTGAACGTCGGGTGCGGAGCGGCCGAAGAGCGGGTCCTATTGACTGGTCTGCACGCCGTCGCCGACATATACTGCGAGTGTTGTAAGACAACTCTCGGCTGGAAATATGTGAGTCCTATAGTGTCCTATCATTGTCTTTGTCTTAAACCCTTGGCATCCGATCGCTATCCCAATGCCTAAACTGCAACTGCAATTCATTCATAACATTGCGTTTAAACTGATTAGACATTCATTCATATAATTGTGTGAATTGAGGACATGATATGTTTTAGAGCCGATATAATGAATATATTGATCACTTTTGAATGTGTATAATCACTGCAAACCCTATCCCTATATAACGTGAACCATATTTGCCTTTCCGACCACTTTCTATGCTTTTGCACAGCATTTAAGCGTATATTGAGATTCAGTATAAGTAAGACAAAACATACTGCAAACCAATCATATGATCACATCATATGAGAGACAAACGTAAACATTGAAGCAAAACAACTTTGAAAGCAATGCATATTTAGCTCTTCCTATAGTTTACTGCGTTTGCAATTACTTTACACTCAAATGCTTTTAATTTTATATTTAAAACATTAGATAATAGTTTTTATTATCATTTAATTACACCGAATATATAATACATTCATTTAAATATTAAACAATTATTTTGTTTGTTTAGCATCTTTTTGCCCAATGATTACACTTTGAGTTAATTTTTATTTTATTTGATAATAATATAAGACATTAGTTTTGCGATTAGATATTATAATTCAGACTCAAATGTTTTTATGGTTATTATAACAGTAATATTATTAATAATATAATTTATGCCTAGATTTTTGTAAACACATATTAAAAGCTAAACCCCATGTATTCCTCGACATCCATACCATTAGCTCCAAGTAATGAACGGCTTATGAAAACTGAATTTCATTAACTTATTATTATTTATTAGTTGTAAAGTTTCGCTGCGCTCTTATAGTTGTTTATTGTTAACTCACTTAAGCCTACATTTGCAACGAATTTCCTTTTATGTACTGAAGAATAGTTTTATAGTTAAAGGAAGAAAAGGAAGTTTTATTGGAGTCTTGTATTTGAATCGTTAAAACATATGATAAGGAATGAAAATAAAAATTATAACAAATGAGAGTATTTAGTAGAATATTAGAGCAAATATATAAATGTTTGATATTATGGTTGTGTTTGGGATTTGTTTGTCAGGAAACAAATGTTGTGATAGCGACAGAAGTGTAGACGTGATTGTTTGGTAGGTTTTGTGATTAGTTGTGATAATTGATTGTGTGATACAATAGGAACACGCGTTTGAGTCGAGCCAGAAGTACAAGGAGGGGAAGTTCATCATAGAGTTGGCTCATATGATCAAAGAGAACGGTTGGGATCACGAGAAGATGCGCCGATAGTATCCACTGTTGGGCTGTCCAGTGGCTGTGTCTACGGGAGAGGCAAAGAAGTGCACCACTCATACCACTCATAGCCGTTGTATATTTCAAACAGCTTTTGTGCGCTCTTTATTAAGTGCTAAATTGATTAGACATTTGCAGCTAATTCTTGTGATACTGAATGACTGATAAGATTAATAGAGTCTGAAGGGCTCTATTATATCATTACACACATTGTCTTCAATATAATAATAGTCCTCATTCTCTAAACATTATCTAAATTTCAGCAAAAAATTATTATTATAACCATTACTAACAGAGATAATACTATAAATAAAAGGTTTCATTAATGAGAACACAATTTTTATTATGGATACAAGCGTTAGGTATTATAGTATTTTTTGCCACCGATTCTATTAAATCATATGACTTTCATTTTCAATGCATTTCTTAATCCCAATTCAAATAATAATCGGTTTAGCATTGCATTAGTCTTTGTTTCTTGAGTTTTGAATTATTTATAAAACGGTATATCATTTGAAATCATTGTTATATTCATTATTCTTCTTGTGTTTAATACTATAGAAGACAACCAAAAGTCGATTAATTTGATGTAAACCTGTTTTGAAATATTTTTTGTTTTTATTTCTCTTTCTGTTAATACTTAGCTTTGGATTAAAATCTTAGTTACAAAACAATTAAGTGAGGAAAACACAAAACAATTAGATCCCGATTTTTGCGCTCATTTGAATGGATTTGGTTTGTAATGTAATTCAATGTCTAATTGATTTCTCTTCTCTCTGTGCCTATAATACAACCAAATTGGATGACATGTCTGAATAGTGTACAATACACTAACGCTTGACTTATACTGTATATTGATATGATATAAAACTTATTTGAATCCATAATAACTACTAATTCTGTAATTCGTATGCTTTCAAGCATTATATCAAAAAATGATAGCAGAGTTGCATTCAATTCTCGATCTAATTTTGCTTTTTTCATATGATATTCAAATATTTTGTGATATTATTGTCTCAGATGTCTGTCGTATATATGAATTATAAATATCTGTATATCTCTTGGAAATTATAAACTGTATATTATTAATGATAACGAAAAAAACCCTATTTTACAGTCTATTATATAAATCTTAATCAAAGGTAAAGATGCCATACATATAGTGAAACACGTACTGCAATCCACTCTAAAACATTAGTTGGCTTTTAGTGCTTAAGAAAATGTAAAAAACAATATAAACACTATCTGTGAACTCATGTCAAACCCTCCTCTAGTCCTATAGTTTTGCCACTCAATAACTCAATACTTGTCCTCTTCTTGTGATTGTCAGTACATTAGAGGTTAATACGAGACAATTGTCTCACTTTTATAATGCACTCAAACGTGTGTCACAACCGGAACCGTCGGCTTTTGTTTCCAATTTCATGACAATAACGCGTCTAAAATGTAATTCTCGTGAGGTTTTAGTGATTATAATTGTATTTTATGTGCTTTTTATTGTCCACTTTTGTTATACACTAAACAGTAAAATATATTAATTTATCCAAAATTTTTATTATATAAAAGCAACGCAATTATTATGATTTATTTTATAAGTAAACTTAAATTAACTAAATTGTAATACTTTTTAATAATTGATTAATTATAAATTGATCTCTTTGTTCTCTAATTATATGGCAATCAAATAAGTAATTTGTTTTTGTATGTGTAATAATATTGAGTCTGATTTTTAGTTTGAAATTGTGGAAAATTATTTCTATTTGAATGGTTTAACGATATGTGAAATGTATTTCGAAAAAAATATTGCGATTAAATTATTTATTCCCAATTGAATACCGTATTTGCTTTTATTTCGCCGATTTATTCATTCAATTATATATACAAAACATAGTCTTCGATATTATATATACAATACATTTGTTTATAAAAAATTAAATAAAATGATTAAAACTTATGTCAATGTCTGAGAGATTTGATGTTTATGTAAATTATATAAAAGTGTTAAATAATATTAAATATCGCACCAAAAGTGATATTTATTTATATATTAAATAATAATTATTGTAAATATTTATTTCAAACTCAAATCACGAATAAAACGAAGACGACTGAGACGTCTGTGGATCTGGTTTTACGATCTGATATGTTATCACATATTCGGGGTATGCCTTCAAACGGGATATTAATTATTATAAACTCTACAAAAATCACATCAATCAATGAGTGTCTGTAAATACCTGTTCTCCTCTATATATCACATATTCTGGATAAGTAAGTCCTCCACCGCTGGGACGGCCTGTTGTCCACAAAACAAACGATACATGCGTTAGAGAATCCATTATACGGTGCAAAGCGTTACAGTTTCGATAACATACCGATTATGCTGTGATGTCCGGGCGGTGAGTGCGCCATCTTTAACGCACTGAACTGGAAGAATGATTTACCCAACGCTACCCTACATAACAATAATTGTCGTCGACATACATAACACGACCTATCCTTGTGTTGCGGACATCCCGTTCCGCCTCCGATTCCATACACGTATTGATTGCTTTTAGAGCTGTTCTCAGCGAAGTATATTCCGGCGCCAAACATACCGCCGATATATGCGTGCCTTTCGTCGAAACCCTTTTGAGTGATTGCGTTGAGAAACGGCGAGCCGTGGAAAAGCATGCGTTCGTTGGCGTAGTCGTGATTCTCCTCTAATATCTCTTTCCTTCGATGGCAATACCTCTGCCATAGCTTTCGATTACTTAATCTCTGAATTTTAATGATATTGTATCGATTGAAAACACCGCCCGAATGGCCGTTATCTTTGTGTTCTCTAATAGTGGTCTGCATTTCGTCCTCAACCGCTTGAAATTCCTTGTCGTTTGCATTCAAATCAGACATAACTGTTCCCGAACTTAACGGAACCAAATGCTGAGCACTGGAATGCGTGGACAACAACACCTTTTCGATGCCTTTAAGAAGTCGATGTCTGTGTCCGTAAGCGTTGACACCAATCAGTTTGAGCTCTTCGTGACCCATCTCTGATAGGATATCGAAAGAGATCTGTTCGCTAACAAACACTTCTGTCAAGTGCTCTAATCCTAAATCACTGAGAAATGTACTCATATTGACGGACGGATACGTAGAAAGTGGTAAATAATTGGTGATTGAATGGACACTAGTCTTCTTGGATGTGCCGTCAGCGCACTGACCACTGGCTGGAGAGATGTCTCCGTTCACGTTCTCACTGTTCCGTTGCGATAGTAGTAGAGTCAGCGCCGAAGGAATGCTTGTTATATCAGAATGAATGGCATTCATTGTATTCTGAGGCGAAAGATTGGCTAAAGTTGTGCTCAGGTTTGGATTAGAGGAAGTGGTGGATGTGTTCTTTTGATCCATTGGTGATGTATTCACAGCCAATACTTTGGCATTTGTGGTCATCGATAACATGACAGATGATGGCGAGACTGCAGAGTTCGGCGCCATTGCGTCCATCAAAAGACACTTGACGTCATCAGCGGTCGCCAAATCTAGAGGTGTTTGCGATTCATGATTCTTAAGGTAACAGTCGGAGCCGTGAGCTAACAATAGCGCACAGACTTGGGTCCGAGATTTTTGTGCCGCCTATCAAATCAATGCAATCATAAATATGTATCATTTATACCTATATTTTCACTTTAAATTTCACTAAATTTTAAATATAAATAATAATGCAATAAAATCGTGTCAGACCTCATGTAATGGTGTGAAACCCCAGCGATCGGTCGAATTGACGGATGTATTGTATTTGATAAGTAAAGCCGCGATATCTATGTGACCATAAGATGCGCTGTTATGGAGCGGTACTATAGGAAAGCGTTAAATAGTTTAGTTTAAACCATAGGTTAGTTTAAGTTGAGAACAATCGTACTTAAGCCTCCCTTATCAGTGCTGTTCACATCCGCGCCCTTTTCAATAAGGAATTGAGTGCACTCTATGTTGTTATAACCGGCGGCCAAATGCAAAGGACTCGAGTGTCTGCCCGACGAGTCCCGGCAGTTGACATTCTCGGCGGTCACTAACTTGACGAGTCGGCTGAGGTCACCCTTCTTGGCCGCATCCAAGATGGCCGCCTCACCCATAAGCAGATCCAGTATGTCCTGATCGGTCTCTTTTACTAAATCAATGGCTCGATTGCCGTCTCTATTCTTCTTGTCTTTGTCGGCGCCGTTGGAGAGCAGAAGTTTCACGATATCGATCTTCCCTTTGGCCGACGCCTCGTGTAATGGCGTAAACTTCCAGAGATCCGTTGCGTTCACATTAGCCTTATGTTTAATAAGCAGTTCCGCCACTTCCAGGTGACCATAACTGCAAGCGTTATGGAGTGGCGCTAACCCTCCCTTGTCTTTGGCCGAAACGTCGGCATTTCGGGAGAGAAGAAACTCGACGACATTCACGCGGTTATAACCGGCGGCGAAATGTATTGGTGTCGAGAGTCGGCCGTCGAGATCGCGACAGTTGACCAAATGTGGGTATGATTTGAGAATCGCTTTCACAACATCCAGTTCACCGGCTTTCGACGCTTCCAACAGTTTATATTCCGTATCTCCAGTTGAGGTCAACCGATGGTTGGCCAACAACTTCTGCACATTATCTTTAGCCAATTGTTCGGCGGTATAGCCCTGAAGGCTAACGATTGTGGTGTCGGCGCCGTATGAGAGCAATATCTGTGCGGCGCTCACATTGTCTTCACGAGCGCATCGGTGAAGCGCTGTTTGTCCCAAACCGTCCAAAATGTTCACTTTGGCGCTGTGTTTGAGCAGTAGTTCCAAGACATCAAACCTGGAGTTGTCTGCAGCCAAATGAAGCGGTGATAAGAAGTCTTTATTTTTCTCATTTAAATTCGCATTTTTTCGGATCAAAAGATCGCAAATTTGTTTGCGTTTAGAGTGAGAGCAGAGGACTGTGTAATGGAGAGGCGTATCGCCGGTGAACGGGTGCTTAAAGTTGACCATTTCTGATGTCAAGTATTTCTTCACTTTTGTCACTTCTGCCAGAAGTATAGCCTCGAGAAGACAATGACCTTTATATTCGTACGCAATTCGTTCCTGTAATTCACGGGTCGGAGCGATGTCTATAGCGCTCTTATCTATCATTCAAACCATCAATTAATACATTAAGACATTTAAATCAAATCAATGCAAACCGTGACAGTTCTGCAGATAAGGATCGGCGCCATTACTGATGAGCAGTGAACACACCTCAACGCGCATCTTGGATGCAGCCTTTCATTCAGTCCAATAGTTAGTAAAACTTTTATAATTAAAATAAAACATAAATAAATACCTCGTGTAATGGTGTGAACTGTCAAATTTGAAATAAAACATATTTTAATAAACAATAATAACTATACATCCGATTGATTACATACCTGCCAGAGATCGGTAGCCGAGACACTGGCGCCGGCTTTTATAAGGATATCACAGACTTCGAAGTGACCGTAAGAACTGCTGTTGTGGAGCGGAACTGAAGGGTAGGATGTGTTTAGTTTACGAATGATTGTAACAACGCTTATAATTGCTTACCTAAACCTCCCTTGTCTTGCGCGTGACAGTTGGCGCCACGACTTAAGAGCAGTTTAACCACATTCACCCGATTGTAACCACTGGCCAAATGCAATAACGATGACTTTCGCCCATCGCTTGCCTGACAGTTCACATTCAATGGCGTCAATAGAGACATGAGTTTCTCTTCGTTGCCATTGCGGGCCGACTCTAACAGCTCTTCCTTCTTATACTCTCCGGTGAGAACAGTCTTAGCCGTGGGATCGGCCAAATCAATGGCCGACTTTCCGTCGGCGTTCAGAATGTTTGGATCGGCGCTATTCTGAAGCAATGCAATGCAAACCTCTATCTTTGCTTTGATGGCCGCTTCCATGAGTGGCGTGAAATGCCAGTTGTCTTTGGCGTTGGGATCCGCGCCATTCTTGATCAACAACTCAACCACTTCTGCGTGACCTGACATACAGACACATAATCAATGCAAACATCGCTACACTTTATGGAGAATTAAAGTACCAAAACTGGACGCGTTATGAAGCGGTTGAAGGCCTCCGTCATCCTTAGCCGACACATTAGCCTTCAAACTAAGCAAATACTCGACGATATCTTTGCGACCTTTCAATGGATACACAAAAACAATGCCATTAAACAAGTGGTCAACGAATATATCAAACATTTCAATAATGAATACCAAAACCGGACGCGAAGTGAAGAGGAGTTGATTTGCGTCCAGAAGTGTCCCGAATGTTGACATTAGAAGAGTTGATGAGTTTCTTGACGCGAATCACATCCCCGTTCTTACAGGCGGTGAACAACTCTTTGTTCAACTGATGGTAACTAATCGGTGGCGACGAGTCGTTCATCGGATTCAATGGCAACCATTTGGACGAAGAGTTTGTTGAATACATGACACGAAACACATTTCACTCGCAATTAATGCAAACATCGCTTTTGGGAAACGCTTTGATGAATACTAATTGAGTCGTCGATCGACACAAACAACACAGCAATCAATTGAGTCAATCATTTCATGCATTAATTGTCACAATAAATACATTTTTCACCTATTTTTTCATCAAATGAGCACTAAATGAGTTCATTATAAATAACGTTCACTTATTTCCACTATATATTCACCCCTTTATGTCATCACATATTGACGTAACGCTCACTTCCTATCCATTCAAACGCAGCCCTCGTTTCATAATTCATGTCGTAATGTATTTTCTATGTATTTATTGGCCGTAAATAACGTTTGCGTCAATAAATGGGAAGTCATTAGAAAACACATTAAAGGGACCAAAAGTATGCGATAAATGGGAGGCGTTTATGACGTTATGAACCAATAATACGGTTATTATTATTATTGTGTCAAATGATTAATGTTTTGGTTGTTATAAACATAACTCACAATTGAGTGAATGATTTGTAGGCATTAATTGTGTTGAGAGTCAACATAAATGGCTCACAAAATCATATTTTAAAGTTAATTAATAGCTATACAAATGTTTTGATCAAATCCAGTGTTTAGTTAATAGTGTGGGTGAATGTGATCGTGATTTGTGACCACGTTTTGTGTGGGTATTAATAATTGTGTGCTTGTGTTGACACAACTCTGTAATAATCGATACACCGTTTCGTTACGTGAAATACAGGCAATAAATAGGGTATTAATGACTGTTTGAAGCGTTTTATCGCATAAATCAGTTTATCATTTGAAAAACAAGTGATAAGACATTGCTTTGTGTCGCGAATTAATTAATGATTACTTCATAACACTTAACACTACGGGAGTCGACAGTGTATTGGATCGACATTTATATGTATTGTGTATTTGACTGGCATTTGACGGCAATTTGAGGACCAAATGGCAACTTATATACAGAAAGGCCTAAACGCCCGAAACCGGGGAACGAGTCTCGACTCTGAACGCGAAAAGTTGGAAAATAATCAGGTTTTCAATCGTTTGATCCATTGTTTTATGCCATTTAACTGTTCATATCGTTATAATAATAGCCATTCATGTCAGTCGGCTTTCGGCTTCAGTTTTGTGTTATTTTTGTTTTTAAAGTTTTTTAGTTTAGTCTAAAGTTTGGCTTAATTTTGTTTAAAGACACGAAATATTTTGGTTGAATTTGTATTTTTAGGTTTTGCTTCAAATGTATTGCCAGTTATTATTGTAATTAATGATTGCAAGACATTAATGAGCGGCACATGTGTTACTCGATTTGTAATTAAAATAATATTTATAATAACGTTAAATAAATATAATAAATCACATGTGTTTTGATTGCGAGAGTTATCGTGAATAATGTTTAGAGAATTTAGCACTAATTTAAATGTTAGATAACACGGCATAAACACGATTACCACTTGAATATATGTTTTGTTTGTTTTTAATTTTTTAGACTAAATATGAAATAATTTTAGATAAATGTTCGCAATATTTATAAATACAATAAAAAATATTCAGTTATAATAATGAAAAGTAATTGTATTGTAGAATTTAATATAATGAGATATATAATGTAGGTATTAATTAGAAATGACTTAACTGTTTTAGTTGACGAGTATTTCGAAAGCGGTGAACAATCATGAAAGTCCGGTCAAAGAGAAACACATGAGAAGTAAGGCATTGATAGTGATTTGCAATGAATGTAATTAATGTAATGAATGTGTAATTCATGGCACAGCTATACTGATGGGCACTTTCCAGAATAAAAGCGCTCATCTCTTCTGGAGTGTCGCCCGTAATCTTCAACTCCAGGAAAATCCGATCGTTTGCTGGAAATTCTGTCACGTCTTACATAAGCTGTTAAGAGAGGGCTATCGAAAAGTATTTGCATTTACCTCTTATTTAGTTGAGTTACAAATAAAGCATAACAACAATTATTGCAGACAATTCCGGATTCATATCAATTCCGGTCAATGCTTTTGGATTTGGGAAAAATGTGGGGACTATTGAAAGAAGGCTACGGAAAGTTGATTCAAAATTACTGCACTCTACTCGTCAGGAAAATTGATTTTCACGCCAATGTATGACTGATTTAATATTAGATAATAAAAATCTGGTTATTCACTATGAAATGCTAACTTTGTTGTGCCGACAGAACCAACGAATTCCGGGCAATTTATTGTTTTCGGACGCAGAGCTCGAAGCCATCGGTGAAAACGATGTTAATATTTAGTGAGTAAACGCTTATAGAATTTATGGTTTTATTAATTGAATCTAATTTTTGTATATAGTTTTGAATTGTGTTGTCAAGTGTTTGACTATTTGGATGAGATATTATGCCTTCAGGCAAATGGTATTATATTTTATATGGAAATTATTTTTAAGACACGATTTAATTGATTTAAAAACTTGTTAAGTTTACGGCTCGCTTGATATGAGTCGATCCAATTCGATGACAAACGCCGGACAGTGCCGTTTGGCACCACTTATTCCCTGCATTCAGGACTCCAGTCAATTGTACGACTTTTCCGTCAAACTTTTATTCAAACTACACTACGGTTTGTACAGAAAATTATTATATTTTATGTAACATTTAGTTTTAAATTATATTTTAAATGACTAATTGTGTGGTGTGTCTGATAACAGCTCTGCCGGCGGGAACTCTCGACGGACACAGGAATAGATTTCTTAATCAATTTAAAATGTAATTATTATTATTTTACGAGTGAAGCATAACTTATTTTTTTAAATTAATATTTAATTTGATTGATTGACTAATGAATTGCCGAATGTATTGTTTAATCAAATTGTAGTCTTAAGTCATTCTACTTAAACTCCAAAAACCTGCAGTACTTTAAAAACCTGATTCAAGTGCCGCTTCTGCCCGATGTGAGAGCTTTTTTATCTCATTTAAATTGATAGTTACTAATAAATGTACGTCTCGTTAGGAACCGCCGAATTTTCTTATCCAATCGGACCTCAATAGTCATGTGACGCCCATTTGTATTGTTCCACAAGAACCCGAATCACCAGAAGTGGATCAAACCGACAACAATTTGGTCGACCTTTCATTTGCCGAAGCTGTGAGTCGTTTACTTAATTAATGACAAAATACTAATACTTATTGTGTATATAAGAACGACAAATTAGATGATACCAACTCTATTTGGTCACTAAATAATGACCACAAAAACGACTCGTTTAACACACAAGTTATAGAAGAAAAGTAAGAATGATTTATACTTGAAATTAATAGGCTTTTAATAAACATTTATAAATTGTGTTGATTTACTGTTGACCTTAATTATAGAGACCGAATGATACAACGATTAATGTCCCGAATTGAACAGTTGGAGCTCGAAATGCAACAAACGAGGGTTCAGGTGAGCAATTGGTTTATATGATTAGGGATTGAATGGATTTTAATGGTTACTTGACGTGAATGTTCAGGACGTGCGTCTAATCGAGGACTTGAAGCGAGCTATAGCTGAGTTGGAATGCGCTAAAGCACAGAGTCTGGAGAAAGAGATCGAAGCGCTCAAAGAATTAGAGAAACGCAAGAGTACTAACGATTTCGAAACGGTGGCCAAAGTGGCCGATAAGTACAATAAGATGAAAGATATTTATAATAAACTCCGTTCCGAACACATCGAACTCCTTCGCAATGTAATCATTGATAACATCATTGGTTTGATTTTGTATTGATATTGATTTTTGTAATCCTAAAGAAAGCTGAGATCGATAGACAATTAATGGCCGCACAGACAGAACTTAGTGTTTCTCAAAACAATAAATTTGTGAGCATTTTTTAGTCGACAATATTTTATTGTAAATATTTAAAATGTTTATTAATTTCGAAACATTCAGACATTAGAGTCACAACTGAGAGAACAAATGAAAAAAGAGGCAGATTTTAATTCAATGAGTGCCGACTGTAATGATCTTAAACGTCGTATTCATGAGAGTGACATTCAGATCAAACGATACACACAAGAGATAGAGGGATATAAACGAAAACTTGTGGACCGCGAGTGGGAACTATTGGGTCTGTCATTACAGTAGTTTATGCCTGAGTTTTGTATTAAATGTGTATTAAATTCAATTCTCAGGAATTGTAATAAATTGTATGCAAAGAATCGCAGAACCCGAATCACCAGAAGTGGATCAAACCGACAACAATTTGGTCGACCTTTCATTTGCCGAAGCTGTGAGTCGTTTACTTAATTAATGACAAAATACTAATACTTATTGTGTATATAAGAACGACTTTTATAATAAACTCCGTTCCGAACACATCGAACTCCTTCGCAATGTAATCATTGATAACATCATTGGTTTGATTTTGTATTGATATTGATTTTTGTAATCCTAAAGAAAGCTGAGATCGATAGACAACTAATGGCCGCACAGACAGAACTTAGTGTCTCTCAAAACAATAAATTTGTGAGCATTTTTTAGCCGACAATATTTTATCGTAAATATTTAAAATGTTTATTAATTTTGAAACATTCAGACATTAGAGTCACAATTGAGAGAACAAATGAAAAAAGAGGCAGATTTTAATTCAATGAGTGCCGACTGTAATGATCTTAAACGTCGTATTCATGAGAGTGACATTCAGATCAAGCGATACACACAAGAGATTGAGGGATATAAAAGAAAACTTGTGGATCGCGAGTGGGAACTATTGGGTCTGTCATTACAGTAGTTTATGCCTGAGTTTTGTATTAAATGTGTATTAAATTCAATTCTCAGGAATTGTAATAAATTGTATGCAAAGAATCGCACAAAAGACTAAGAATGAGGGCATTCAAAACAGTTCCGTTATTGTCAACTGTTCTCCCGGTATGTCTTCACTTAAAACTTAGATACAAACAAAATAATATAATTTATATTATATTGATATCATTATTTACAGAATATTTCTTCTCACAACTGAACGAATTGAGCAAAAACTTGGATTCATTGGAAGAATCCTCGAAACAAATTTCAACGAATTCATCGATGGAATCGCTTTTAGCGAATATATTGGAATATTTCATACAATTATGTTATGGAGTAAACTGTGGGAAAACAACTTATTTAACAATACCTAACATTGAACATGGACAGGGTTTGTGTTATTTATGCAATAATCATTTTATAGTAAAATTGTATACTTTAGATACAGTATACAAATTTAACAAAAATTCTGTTAAAGAATAATGTATAAAATTTATATATAAAATGTTGCAACACTTTGTCCACATCTAATATACGGATAATTAAATTCAGAACTTCTAAATAACTGCAAAGAACTGGTCGATTGGTCTTTGAAAATGAGTCAAAACATTAAAAATAAGTTTCACGACACGAATACAATCCTATCTGTGAATATATTGGAATATTTCATACAATTATGTTATGGAGTAAACTGTGGGAAAACAACTTATTTAACAATACCTAACATTGAACATGGACAGGGTTTGTGTTATTTATGCAATAATCATTTTATAGTATACAATCGGTTAAAAAATAATATATAAAATTTTGCAACACTTTGACCACATCTAATATACGGATAATTAAATTCAGAACTTCTAAATAACTGCAAAGAACTGGTCGATTGGTCTTTGAAAATGAGTCAAAACATTAAAAATAAGTTTCACGACACGAATACAATCCTATCTGTGAGACAGTGTTTGAATAAATTGATTGCAATGAATGTCTTCATTATTCCCGAATTATTGGACAAAACCAAAGATTTGGAAAAACAATTAATGGACGAAATGAGTGAAATGGACAGAGCTATCAATGACGCCGCTCTCAGGATTGAGGTCTGTTCTCAACCATTGATTTGTTGATTACTTGAATGTAATATTGAATGAAATGACAGCAAATGCTAGAATTAGCGAAGAAAAAGGACACAGGAATCAAACTGGAGGTTAACGGACAGATTCTGGACGCCTGTACTTTCCTAATGAACGCAATCAAACAACTCATATACGACGCCAAAGAACTACAAAAAGAGATTGTATCACAAGGAAGAGTGAGTTCGCAAATGCCTAAAAACATTGTATTTTTTTATAATAAATGTTTAATTTTTATGATAGGGTTCCACTTCTATGGGAGAATTCTATCAAAGGAATCACAGATGGACTGAAGGCTTGATATCGGCGGCCAAAGTGGTGGCCGCAGACGCAAAACTTCTTGTGTGAGTAATATATTAGCAAAATTATGGCTCAATTATAAGAAATATGTTTTAATGACGAGTAAAATGTTGAAAACAGTGATTCTGCGGATAAAGTGATATTAGGTTCGGGAAAATTTGAAGAACTGATTGCCGCTTCTCAGGAGATCGCGGGCGCCAGCGCTCAGCTGGTAGTGGCCTCTCGAGTGAAAGCCGAGCCGTCGAGTCTTAAAATGGGCAAACTTTCCAAGTCTTCGAAAGTGGTCTCTGAGGCGACTGGAAATGTGGTCGCGATTACTAAGAAGTGTTCACAGCGTGTCGAAGAAGGAGGTATACAATCGCGGCATTCAATCTGTTCTTTGTTTACACACTTTTGTTGTTTTAAATTTAGATGATTTGGATTTCTCTAAACTAACTCTACATCAGGCGAAACGATTGGGTAAAACAATCATACAATTGAATTGTATGTTACATTAGATTCATTATATTGTTTATAAATGTTATCAGAGATGGACAGTCAGGTTAAGGTTCTGGAGTTGGAGAAGGCGTTAGAGAACGAGCGCTTAAAATTAGCTGCGCTTCGCAAACAGCACTACCATTTGGCGGGTGCGTCGGCCGGTTGGTAGAAGCAGTCATCGGATTTATTGCTACCTATATTTAGTCACAAAAATCGTATTCTCTTAGTATTTACATTGAAAGTCCGCTTTCGCTACTTTTCGTGCTTTTTGTCCGTTTTATACAAGTTTTACACTTATTTTTTGTATTAAATAATGTATTAAAACAATTTTAAAACATTTTTATTTCAGTATTTACTTAACATTAATAACTCTAATTATATTTACATTTTCATTGATTAGAGAAGAGTTAACTTATTTTAAAAACTAAATGTGATTTTCATTGAATGTAATAAAAAGAAATGTCAAACATTTGCACTTATTTTGCTAATCAAATCATATTTTAAAGTTGTAGATACAGTATATCCAACAGATGAGATCCAAAACTCACTTTTATTTGTAAAGTTAAGTTATATTCAATGTCTGTGTCATTGAAGTGGTTGTCATTCATGCAAATACTTATTCATATTTAATGTGTCATTATTTGACTAATGATCACATTTTTGATCACATCTACTGCTGACAGCTTTATATGTAGACTAATATTCTCTGCAAATAGTATTTCTCAACTAATAGTACACTAATTATATGAATGACCAATAATTGCCAATCGACTCAACAGTTCTCTCTGACACTTATTCGGCACAATATTCACACATCAAGTTTGCCCTCAACTCAACACCAATCCATTCATTCAACCTTTCATACAATTCAAACAAATCAACACTAGATGTGGCAATAAATCAAATATTTCTATGTGGCCATACATTGCGCAACTAACCTAGGTAATACATATTCTGTAACAGAATCTCAGTGCTAGTGTTTAACCAAGTTCAAACTTTGAACGTGATCATTACATAATAGTCGTAAACGTAATGCGAGTACAGCCCCTATCGTAACGTTTAGTAAACATCAGTACAATTTGACGCAAAAAGTTAGTCATAATTGTGGCAAACATTAGCATTGGTTGAATGGAAAGCCCGGACAGAGCGCAGAGCCCACCCCTACTGGGCGTCAGTCACGCTGTCTATGAGCGAGACGTATAGCAAAACACAGCAAAACAGTATAAATACTGTAAGACTGCAAACATTGCAAGCATTTCATCAATGATTGTGCCATTGGTTTGCATTTCAAACAATTTATAACCAAAAAACACAATTGAATTGTGTTTTCAAATCCATTCATCCATTCATACGATTCACTCGTTTCTCTCGTATTGTGTGTTTTGATTACATTCAATGGTTTTCAGTGTTTTGAAAATGATTTGCAATTCACAGTCGTTTTGGAAGTGCTTTGATATATGATATGAAATATAATACGAAATCATAATTAATTGGTTATTGAAAATACACGAAAGCGGACCCAAACCAAGCCATGGACTTATTGTCGTCTGTGTTGGACGAGTGCGGCCTCGATATCGACGATCTCACCGCTCAGGTAATGACCACACCATCGATGGCAACAAGTATTCAATGTTTCCAATCCGCAGGTCATCCCCGAAGAGGCGCCCAAACCTCCAGCCTTTATCACTACAGCAAAGGTATGTGTTATTCGCGTCCACACGTGTGGCCACTAATGCTGTACTCCTATACAGACACCGATTCACTCGATATTAAACAACCAATTGTTGAACAAAAATGGCAATAAGAAGATCTCAATCACCACTTACTCTCTGACTAACCCAAGCGCTGCCAAAACCCAAACGTTTGACATCAGATTTCCCGCACAGACTTCGACGACGATTCGGCCGACAGTGTCCGCAGCCGTGCCGTCGGTCTCGTTCTTACCTCAAAACAATCAAAACTTATCATTACTTCAGAAGAATTTGCCCCAAATTGAGACCGATTTAAGCGAAGAGGAAAGGCTTGTCGAGGATGAAGAAGAGATGGCTATCGTTCACACGTTTGACGATTACATGCCATCAAAATGTAACCATTAGTGAAAGTGTTTTGTATGAGAGATATGTCTAAAATGTGTTGTTTATTATAAATAGTAAAAATTGGTGAAAAACATCCCGACCCAGTGGTCGAGACCGCCTCCCTCTCCAGTGTATTGCCGCCCGACATATACTATAGACTCGATATACCCGAAGACGTGATCGATGAGGCAAAGCTGTCAGCACTTCAGTTAGAGTCGATTATCTACGCCTCTCAACAACACGACAACTTCCTCAGCGACGGCTCCAGAGCTGGCTTTTTGGTCGGCGACGGAGCGGGTGTTGGAAAGGGCCGCACAATCGCTGGCATTATATACGAGAACTATCTGAAGGGACGGAAGCGTTCGGTTTGGCTGAGTGTCAGCACAGATCTTAAATATGACGCCGAAAGGGATCTCTACGATGTGATCGGCGCCAACAAAATTGAAGTCCATTTACTCAACAAAGTAAACGTGTTTTGGCTTTAATTGAGTTTATTTTCTAATTAAAAAATTTGCATTGAATTACAGTTTAAATACGGCTATAGATTACACTCTCAAGAGAACGATAATGTGAAACGTGGAGTGATTTTTGCCACTTATAGCTCATTGATCAGTGAATCGACGACTACTACTGGCAAATACAAGACACGTTTCGGTCAACTCGTCCAGTGGTGTGGCGAAGATTTTGATGGATTGATTGTATTCGATGAGTGCCATAAAGCGAAGAATTTATTCCCGTCATCTGGTTCTGGAAAACCGACTAAAACAGGTCTCGCAGTACTCGAGCTGCAGAACAAACTGCCAAAAGCGCGGATAGTGTACGCGTCGGCAACGGGTGCTTCAGAGCCTAAGAATATGGGTTATATGACTCGGTTAGGCGTTTGGGGAAAGGGAACCCCTTTCGAAGATTTTGGACAATTTGTGGCTACTGTTGAGAAGCGAGGCGTCGGTGCCATGGAATTGGTGGCCATTGATATCAAGATGAGAGGCATGTATATGGCTCGACAGCTCAGCTTCCAAGGCGTTACGTTCCGTATAGAAGAAGTTCCTCTCATACTGTTGAGAAGCGAGGCGTCGGTGCCATGGAATTGGTGGCCATTGATATCAAGATGAGAGGCATGTATATGGCTCGACAGCTCAGCTTCCAAGGCGTTACGTTCCGTATAGAAGAAGTTCCTCTCAGCAAAGACTTTACTAAATTATATGATAAGTGCTGTGATCTGTGGGTTTCGGCGAAACTCAAGTTTGACAAAGCGTTGGAACTAATGGAAAGTGATAATGGAATCAAAAAGACTATTTGGACCCAATTCTGGGCATCACATCAGCGTTTCTTCAAATACCTGTGCATTGCATCTAAAGTCAAATTCGCCGTCAGTTTTGTGAAGGAAGCGCTTCGCGACAACAAATCTGTTGTGATTGGTCTTCAATCGACCGGTGAGGCCCGCACTCTGGAACAGCTCGAAGATAATGGCGGCGAACTCAACGATTTTGTCTCGACATCAAAGTATTGGTGACATTTGTTTAATATTTTCCAAAATAGTAATATTTGTTTGATTTTAGAGCTGTGTTTCAATCATTAATTGAGAAACACTTTCCGGCGCCGAATCGAAAAAAGTTGGCTCGACTTCTGGGCCGCGACACCAGTTTTTTCGATGAATTGGGCATCACTTTGAAGCGCAACTCTAGGGATGAAATCGTCGTCTCTCAGCAAAGACTTTACTAAATTATATGATAAGTGCTGTGATCTGTGGGTTTCGGCGAAACTCAAGTTTGACAAAGCGTTGGAACTAATGGAAAGTGATAATGGAATCAAAAAGACTATTTGGACACAATTCTGGGCATCACACCAGCGTTTCTTCAAATACCTGTGCATTGCATCTAAAGTCAAATTCGCCGTCAGTTTTGTGAAGGAAGCGCTTCGCGACAACAAATCTGTTGTGATTGGTCTCCAGTCGACCGGTGAGGCCCGCACTCTGGAACAGCTCGAAGATAATGGCGGCGAACTCAGCGATTTTGTCTCGACATCAAAGTATTGGTGAAATTTGTTTAATATTTTCCAAAATTGTAATATTTGTTTGATTTTAGAGCTGTGTTTCAGAGTAATTAACTCTTTGTGAAAGGCCGCGGCTTAGCTTTTTTCAACCGAGCTGAAGACCCGGCGCTGTGGTCAAAAAAGCTACTTAACCCGTAGTGAAACTTCGCGTTGAGATCCCTACTTTAGCAGCCCGCCGTCAACAATGATATGAAGCCGTCGTCGACATCGAAAAACAGTTTGGATTCGAGCAGTGAATCGTCTGAAAGTGACAACGAAAGTGAAAGTGGTTTCTCAGACAGTGATGAAGAGCTGAGTGTTTCTGACGACGACATGGACTCCTCTAATAGTGACGACGATTTTGATAATAATAATAGGAAAAGAAAGTCTAATTTTCTCGACATATTTCTTAACAAAAAGCCTAAAAAAGTTAAGAAAACCAAAGAACCGAAAAAAGTGAAAAAAGCGAAGAAAAAACGCGTCAAAATTGAAGACCAAATCAAGGAATTGGACGTAAACTTCAAGTCTGCGGACGCCGGAGACTATTGCGCCAAAATGAAGGAAGAATTGTTGGAACAGTTGGAAAGAATCGGCGATAAATTACCCGCCAATACATTGGATGAGTTGATCGATGAATTGGGAGGACCTGACAATGTGGCAGAAATGACGGGACGAAAGGGTCGTATTGTGACGAAAGACGACGGAAACATTCAATACGAGACCAGATCTGAAAACGATGTCTCACTAGAAATGCTAAATTTAGTGGAAAAGCAACGCTTTATGGACGACGAGAAACGGGTGGCCATCATATCAGAAGCGGCCTCTTCTGGTATTTCATTGCATTCCGACAAAAGGGCCAAAAATAGGTGGCGAAGAGTTCACATCACTGTTGAGCTGCCGTGGACACGGCTGTCTCGGTATGTTGTCAAACCTGCGTGGGTAGCCAGGTTAGTCTGCTCACGTGGGCTCATACACAAGGAGTAGAGTCTCAACCGGCCTCTCTTCTCTAAGCGCAGGTAACAACGGTTTGCGCTCGAGAGTTTGGGTGCTTTGACTCACGGCGATAGACGCGCCGCTGAGACCAGAGACTTAAGTCAATACAACATCGATAACAAATACGGACGACAGGCTCTCGAAATAATCATGAAATCTATCGCTCGAATCGACGAGCCTTTAGTGAGTCCTCCGGAAGGCTATAGCGGAGACTTTTTTGATGACTGTCGTCAAGGCTTAGCCGGCGTCGGACTCATTCATTTGGATAGTAAGGGATTGCCGACACTTGATAAAGGTATAGAGCAATAGACGCTCAATTGTGGTACAGTATTAATGAAGTGTTTATTATTTAGATTATTCACAAATGACAAAATTTCTCAATCGATTGTTGGGTCTTAACGTTGAACTCCAAAACGCGTTGTTTAAGTATTTTAGTGATACGATGGAAGCTGTGATAAAAGATGCTAAACGTTCCGGTCGTTACGATTCCGGCATTATTGGTATGTATTGTATTTGAATGAACACAAAGTTAGGACTTGTTGTTTATGAATTTATTTTGTAGACTTGAGCTCTGATGTGGGAAATGTTCAACGAGTGAACGACACCGACTACTACTTGAAATCATCTTCGGGTGCCATTAAGATACAGTTGCATAATGTGTCGATCGATAGGGGAATGTCTTGGGACCAGGCGTTGACTTCTTATAAAAATTCATGTTTAGAATACGCGAACGATAAACAAGACTTTGGTTTCTATATATCATCGGCTGTAAGTTTTTCTCTTGTTTTAATTAAATGCGTTAAAAGTTGTAATAATTGCTTATTATTAACAAATGATTAGAATAAAAATGAGGTGTTTTTGGCGATTCCTGACTCCAGAGATCGAAATCAGTTTAAAAAGATATTCCGAATTTATAAACCAAACTCCGGTTTATTACCCAAATGTGAGACACTTTCCGCTTTGAAAGAGAAGGGAAAGAAAGCAAAGGCCGAGGATATCGAGATTGTTTGGAAAGAGAGGTACGATATCTCTATCGATAAGTGCAGTCATTTCCAACTGCACCGTAAGTGCAAACGAAGCAACTGCGAGGTCGGCCTTCGGAAGCGTGAATATTGTATTCTAAGCGGAGCCGTCCTTACCGTATGGCCTGAACTCGAGAGAGCCATTACTTATCTTCAGTCACATAAACTACAGATCGTTCGCCTCCGCACTGACGACGGCCTGCTTCACAAATGTGTGTAAATATTACTCTTTAAGACAATCTTCTTCCTCTCTTCGTGCGGAGCGTTTATCTTGAGTTTCATTTCATTCAATCTCCTCTTCCGCGACACGCCTTCAGTGGATCCGCTGTTGGCGACAGAGCGCTGGTATGAGTCGAGTCCCTCTTCGAGCATATTGTCGATGTCGTCGACCGGTATATCTGAGTCCGAGTCCATTGAAGAGTCTCGGATGTCGTCCTCTTCGTCGTCGTCATCGTCTTCCTCCTCGTCGTCTTCCGGAGGCATCTCTTCATCACTACTGATGTCTTCGTTGTCCTCAAGCTTTACATCAGAAGACATAGTCTTCTCGATAATAGTTTGGCTCTCGTTATTGAGACCATCGTTAAGAAAATTATCACCAATTGGTTCCATAAGAATCACATTAACATCACTTTTGGATTCAATCACTTCTTCGTTTGTTTGACTCATGTTTTCATCAATAGTATTGATTCAATACTTACTTTTAATTGTGTTATAAATTATAAGTTATAACAAACATTGAAATGAGTATTAAATTACAAAAACCAATATAACTGTAATTTGAAGACTTTGACGACGAGTGCAAAGATCACCACAACTATCAACTGTTTAACCATTCAATCCATTGTCAGCCATAACTATAGCCAACAAAAGCTAAACCCATCGATAGGTTGGGGCGAAACAAATGGTTGGAAATGATTACAAATGATTCAATTAATTATAATTACATTTAATTCAAATCAAAACAATAGACAACAAAAGCGAAAATTATTTACTTTTTCAAATCAATGCTATTTTCACAACACATTGTTTTCATACTTTTCAATGCATTCAAAGCAATGCATTACTAATGCATTAAACACTCATAAATGGGACTAAATTTGCAATTATTTCATAGCAAAAGAGCGTACAATTCAAATATATTAACTTTAATATAGTAATATAGTCTTTATTTGAATTAATTTAGATTTAAAATTACATTTATTCAAATAATTTGTTAGAAAATTGTCATTTTTATACACTTTAAACACTAAACTTAATGATCCGATGGTTTTGTGTACATATCGGTCATTATATCACAGAATTATACTCTAAATCATATTTAATAAATATTAGACACAATTTTCTCGAGTCTTTCAATAATATAATTGAATTACAAAATAAGACTAAAAACAAACAAAAATAATTATAATTAACTCTTAATCTATTAGTTAATGCTATGGTTTTGGTTATGGTCTGAGCGCCGACTGAAACTGAATGCCAGTGCTCTGCAACTGTTGTAAAGTTTGTTTGACTAAATCGACATATGCTGGCGGAACCATTGGTCCTGAAACGATATAACATGACAATTAGTAAAGCAATCAAAACAAACCATAACTAGTGTTATATACCAATGAATTTGACCGGCAGCAGTCACGCCTCCGCTTGCTAGACATCAAATACACTGACTTCTATTCATTACCGAGAGAGCTCAAGTCCGGTATGCCATTCCTGCCGAGGCGAATCTTATGTTATAAGTGCGAAGGCTTCCCCGACCTCGCAGTTGCTTCGTTTGCACTTACGGTGCAGTTGGAAATGACTGCACTTATCGATAGAGATATCGTACCTCTCTTTCCAAACAGTCTCGATATCTTCGGCCTTTGCTTTCTTTCCCTTCTCTTTCAAAGCGGAAAGTGTCTCACATTTGGGTAATAAACCGGAGTTTGGTTTATAGATTCGGAATATCTTTTTAAACTGATTTCGATCTCTGGAGTCGGGAATCGCCAAAAACACCTCATTTTTATTCTAATCATTTGTTAATAATAAGCTATTATTACAAGTTTTAACGCATTTAATTAAAACAAGAGAAAAACTTACAGCCGATGATATATAGAAACCAAAGTCTTGCTTATCGTTCGCGTATTCTAAACATGAATTTTTATAAGAAGTCAACGCCTGGTCCCAAGACATTCCCCTATCGATCGACACATTATGCAACTGTATCTTAATGGCACCCGAAGAGGATTTCAAGTAGTAGTCGGTGTCATTCACTCGTTGAACATTTCCCACATCAGAGCTCAAGTCTACAAAATAAATTCATAAACAACAAGTCCTAACTTTGTGTTCATTCAAATACAATACATACCAATAATGCCGGAATCGTAACGACCGGAACGTTTAGCATCTTTTATCACAGCTTCCATCGTATCACTAAAATACTTAAACAATGCGTTTTGCAGTTCAACGTTAAGACCCAACAATCGATTGAGAAATTTTGTCATTTGTGAATAATCTAAATAATAAACACTTCATTAATACTGGATCACAATTGAGCGTCTATTGCTCTATACCTTTATCAAGTGTCGGCAATCCCTTACTATCCAAATGAATGAGTCCGACGCCGGCTAAGCCTTGACGACAGTCATCAAAGAAGTCTCCGCTATAACCTTCCGGAGGACTCACTAAAGGCTCGTCGATTCGAGCGATAGATTTCATGATTATTTCGAGAGCCTGTCGACCGTATTTGTTATCGATGTTGTATTGACTTAAGTCTCTGGTCTCAGCGGCGCGTCTATCGCCGTGAGTCAAAGCACCCAAACTCTCGAGACGTTTGGCAACAATGGACGCGAATCTCTTCTCTCCGGCCAACTCTGAGATGAGGAACACATACTCGGGTGCACTCGTCTGATTGGACCGATGGGTGCGTCCAAACTGTTGTATGGCTCTGTCGGCAC